GCTTAAAATATTTACTGTCTGGCCTTTTAGATAAAATAGTTTGATGACCCCTGGTCTAGAGAATACAATGCACTGATTGGGTTTGGTTCTGTGTTGCCTTTTACCACTGGACCCCACCCAGATCACAACCAGGGATTGTTACCAGAAGAAAGGATAATGAACCTTGGCTAGGCTAACAGCAAATGTCCATTACAGTCCATCCCTCTGGCTGCCCAACGTCCATCCATCCTCTTCTTCCCATATACTTTCAAAAACATGCTCATTTACATGCAGTGCTCTCATTCCCAAAGTCCAGGTCCAGGGTGTCTAGTCTGTGTGGCTACATCCACCATCATCCTGGTCTATCAGCCCTGGGAGTTCAGAATTCTCATGGGCCCCAGTTTGACCTCCGTAGTAGGCAGAATAAGCCACCCCCAACCAGAATGTGGACAAGGACTTTTTTTTTTTTTTTTTTTTTTTGAGACATAGTCTCTCTTTGTTGCCCAGGCTAGAGTGAGTACCATGGTGTCAGCCTAGTTGACAGCAACCTCAAACTCCTGGGCTCAAGCAATCCTCCTGCCACAGCCTACCCAGTAGCTGGGACTACAGGCATGCGCCACCATGCCCGGCTAATTTTTTTCTATATATATTAGTTGGCCAATTAATTTATTTCTATTTATAGTAGAGACGGTGTCTGGCTCTTGCTCAGGCTAGTTTCAAACTCCTGACTTCAAGCAAATCTGCCCGCCTCGGCATCCCAGAGTGCTAGGATTACAGCCGTGAGCCACCGCGCCACCGCACCACCGCACCTGGCCCTGGACAAGGACTTTGAAGATGTAATAAGTTCAGGATCTTGAGATGGAGAGATTATCCTGGATCAGTCATCTAAGCAGGTCCAATGTGATCACAGTGGTACTTATAAGTGAAAGAGGGAGGCAGGAGAGAGAGAGCTAGAGGAGGAGACTCAGTGAAGAGGAAAGACGTCCAGGGCCAAGGTGTCTTAGTCTGCTAGGACTGAAATAACAAAATCCTACAGATTGGGTGGTTTAAACACCAGAAGGTAATTTTCTCACTATTCTGGAGGCTAGAAGTTCAAGATCAGGGTGTCATCAGGGTTCGTGTGTGGTGAGGCCTCTCTTTGTGGATTGTAGACAGCTGCCTTCTTGCTGTGTCTTCACATGGCATTTCCTCTGTGAACATAAGGAGAGAGATCTCTGATGTCTCTTCCTCTTGTTATAACACCAGCCCTCTCAGATCAAGGTCTTACCCTTCTGACCTATTTAACAGTTATTACCTCCTTCTAGGTCCTATCTCCAAACACAGTCTCACTGGGGGTCAGGGCTTCAACAAGGGGGGTTGGGAGAACACAGTTTAGTGCATACAGCAAGGAATAAGGGCAGCATCTGGCAGTTCAGAAAGGCCGGAATTAGCTCTCCCCTATAGCCTCCAAAAGGAACACAGCTCGCTGACACCCTGATTTGAGTCCCAGGAGACCTATTTCAGACTCAGGACCTCCAAAACTGTAAGATAATCAACTGTTGTTTTAAGCCACCAAATTCATGGTAATTTGTTATAGCAGCAATAGGAAATTGATACAATCTCCTATGTGGTTCTACTTTCTTACATTCATTTTAGCTTAAGGAAGAGAATTTGGCTTTTTCAACCCTGAAAGTCTCCAGATCACCGAATCCTGTGGATTACAGCCACTGGCAGGAATGGCTATCCAGAGCAAATTTACATTTGACCCTCTCTTCTTTCAGATTAGCTGGTTTGAACCTAAACTTGATATTTTTTGGTGGTGTCTCACATAGGACTTTACTAAGGGCCATATGAAGTAGTCTCATACCCTGAAATTTTCCTACCAGTTCCCTAAGTCCTTAAGCCCCAGGAATCACATGGTCTGAATCCAAAGAAAAAATACGCAAAATAATTTTTTTTTTGATCATTCAGCCACTGTGAATGAGCATCATGGGGGACAAACAGACTCTGTCCTTTGTGTAGAAGGACCCAAATCAATTATGGATGGCCCTGGCTAATGAAGGACTTTCTCTTCTCTCTTTGACTATGCCTTTGATCCCTGAGCTTTTCCAGTCTCTTTTCACTTTGCCAGGGCTGGCTGGTTTGTTTGCTGGCCTGGCCTGTGTAAAAGCGACATCTTCCCTCTGGAATCTTATTCCTATCTGTGGGGCTGATTTGAGGATTGGAACCTGGGCATATCTCAAGTCACAATCAAACATGTCTGGGGTGAATGATAACTCTCTGCATCAAAGAGACCAGCACTGAGGTCATGGAGAACACACACCCGAGAGAGATGAGGGACTCTGGTCACTTTTCTCTACCTGCCAGTGAGTGGGAGGGAGGGTAAGTGGAGGGGGAAGGAGAGTCGGGTAGCTTGGTCTAGAAGCGGGAGCGTTTCCTTGGAATCAGAAGGTCTGAGTGTGAATTCTATTACACCCTACTTCACAGAAGACCCTCTGCTTTCATCCCCCTCCTCTCTAAAGAGAAAACAGCTACAAAGGTATGTGGCATCATTATGACCGAGAATGTTCACCGTCCTTAACTGACTTGGAATGGCAAGCTGTGCTCCCTACCAGAAAGGCTTTCCTCTTCCTCTTCCTGCCAGCCCAAGCTCCAGCCAAAGCAGAAGTGACTCCCCGTGAGTTTGTGCCCAGGCTGCAGAGGGAGGCAGGGCAGGCCTGGGGGTGAGCGCCCTGCCAACAGGAGGTGTGGCTTCTGCCTAATTCCCACTGCTCTCAAATAGTGCTTTCGTCCTTCTAGGAGGGGAAAACATGCCGTGGGGTAAGCAGGATATGGAGTCACAAAACCTGTCTTCCTTCCAGGCTCTGGAGGCCCGATTCTCACCAGGGTAGTGAGAAAATTCCAGTCAGGAGTTGGCTCCATAGGGGATCTGGCAGGTGTCTGGCTGAGGTGGTGGCAGCACACCCCCAGGGGGTATGCCTCCTGGGTTTTCTCCTGGGGCTAATGCCCTCATCTGTTTCACAGCTCCTGCAGTTATGCTCTGAGGCCTTTTTCCTGTAATGGAGCATCAGTGGGGATGCCCCCTGAATGTTTGCCCCCCCATAAATTTCACTGGAATAGGCTCAGTCATTGTTAGAGCCAACGTTGGTCTTGTTCCTGTCACCTAGTATATTAGTGACAGCTCTCATCTTTGAATCACCTACAAAATGTCATAAATATGTGAATTACTATTCTTCCTTATTCTAATTCTGGGTGTTGGTGTGAGGTGGAGACTTTAAGAATCTCTACATATTACACAGAAAGGATGGGGCAAGAGGAGAGAGCAGAAATTGGGGCCCAGCACGGTGAAGGGGCTGCCCAAGGATACACAGAGCGGGGTCACAGTCAGGTCTCTTGCATCGAGGTTTAGGGCTCTGCCATGTCCTCCATGCTGACACTGATAGCCCCAATTAGAAATAGTGGTGTCTCGTAAATGCCTCTGGGTCCTTAGCTTTATGTCCATTGTGTCACCTATAAATGTGAGTCTAAGCTGGGCAAACTCCAGAGTCCTATCAAGGAAGATGTTTTCTTCTTTTTTTCCTACTTTTCTTTTTATATGAAGTCGGGTAAGGGGGTATTCACTTTCCTTTTTGTTGATGTTGACACAGAGTCTCACTCTGTCATCCTGGGTACAGTGCAGTGGCATTATCGTAGCTCACAGCAACCTCCAACTCCTGGGCTCAAGTGATCCTCCTGCCTCAGCCTCCGTTTTCTTCTCTGCCAGCTGCTGAAAAACTCAGACCTAAATTTGGGACTCGCCTGCACCAAGGTTGTAGATCATGCTGGCATTTCTTTCTATGCTCTTTTCAGACTCATTTGGTTAATTATTGATTGCCATTTTTCTCTTTTATGTACACTGCCTTGTATGTCTCCTTATCTTAAATCCTTTTGGGGACACAGCAAGGTATAATTAAGTACAGGCGGTACACACTCACTGCCCATTTTGCAGGCATTTGGCACACTATCATTATGTCTGCTTAAAAATGCTCACGCTTGCGACTTAGCTGGGCCATCAGAGTACAATACCGTCCCACGTAAGATGTACCACTGGAAGCGCCGCACCAGGCTTATGGGAAGGATCTCGCAAATGCTAATTTCAACTGAAATTCACCAGACTCTTTCCTCCAGGCACGGGGGCACTACGTGGCCGCACAGGTCCCCGTGTATTAGTGGGATTCGACCACACTCCAGCTTTCGTCTCCCCGGCGTCTTTCGCCAGGACAGTTCGGGTGAAGTGTGGGGTGAAGCAGGAGGGTGGAGGCGGGGCAAAGGCCGAGTGTGGCGACCCCAAGTGTGAGCGGCGAGGTTGGTGGGCGCCTGGACACAGCCTAGCCAGGAAGGAGAGGTCGGGCGCGGCAGTAGGGAGCCAGGGCGGGCGCGGGGATTGTGTTTCTCTGTAAGGTGCAGAGCGAAGCCCGGGGACGGCCGGCGGCAGCCGAGGAGAAAAGGGGCCAAGACAGAGACCGCGCGGGGCTTGGGAGCCGCGAGGCGAGAAGCGCTCGCGGAGGGTGCGCCGCGGGTCAACCGCCGAGCGAGGACTGGCTCCCGCAGCTGTGGACGATGGCCGCGAGCGGGAAGGGAAGTGCGGAGGACGCCACTTGCTCCTGATGGGGTGGGGGGCAGGACCGACCCCAGGTCACAGGAGGCTGCCTTCCCAGCCTCGCCCGCCCCTTCTCACCCAGAGCTTTGGGTCAGACGCGGAATCGGCACGATCCCCTTCTGAGAGGACTGACTGTCCGCTCCGACTCCCCACGCGGCGCGGCGCCGCCGGCCTGGGCGCGCGGAGCCGCCTTGTATTCTTAGCTCCAAGTCCCAGGGACGGAAAATGCTCGACTCGCCAGCGTCAGGATCACCCAGACTCGGTTCGAATTCCATTCCTCCACTGCAGAGCCTACCCCACTCTACCGCAGTGTCCTCGTCCGAAAGGTGGGGCTCGTAACTGTACTCACCTCTTAGGCCTGTTGTGACGAACACACGACACGCGTAGATAAAGCGTTTAGTGCCAAGGCCACTACTTAGACAGCAAGTATCATAGGCAGGGGTCAATACTGCCACCTTCTGGCCCGTCTGGGGTTCTGGGAGTGGGCCAGTGGCGGGTCTGCGCCCCGCAAGGTCCACTGATCCCCAGACCACGACAGACGCGCCGGCGCTTCCATGCTTGGACCCGCCGGCGCCCCAGGCTGGGTCCCTAGAAACATCTAGGGCGTGGGCGGGGGGCGGAGGACCGGGCGGGGACCGTCCCAAGCTCTCCCAGCTTGTGCCACCTATCCTGCTCCCCAAGAATTTGGCTGGGTCGGTGCCCGGGCTGGGCAGTCGGCGGCTTGGCTGTCCGGCTCAGCAAGGTCCGGTCGTCCACGGGCGTCGGGATTCAGGATGACTTCGGCCGGGTGAGTGTCCCCCGAGCAGAGGAGAGTGGGAGCTCGGACTTGGCCAGCGTGGGCGCGCGGCGCGGCCTTCCTGCCGTCTCCCGGAGGGGCAGGCGCGGGGGCCGCGGACGCAGCGCGGAGGCAGCGGGAGGTTGGCGTCTAAATATAGCCCAGCGGGTTCCCGCGCAGGTAGTGGCTGCAGCTAGGGGACAACGCGTGCGGATGCCGCCGGAAGCCTGCGGTTCGGTGCAGAAAAGCTGCGCCCCCAGGAACCGGGAACGCCGGTATTTCCGTGGGGAAAATTCGACGTGGGGTTGCCTTTCGTGGCCCACAACGTGTCTCGGGTGTTCGGCCTTGCAAGCGCGGGGTTCGGGGCTCGCGGCTTGGAACCCGGAGACGCCGACCAGAGGAACCCTTCCCTACGCCCACCGTCAGTGGGAGGCTGTGGGTCCCGCCCGGGTTGCTGCGGGCTCCGTGCGGTCGGGGGAGGGGCAGGGCTTCGTCCCTTCCGCGGCTTCCAGAGACAGTCCCCACAAAGAAAGGGAAAAGTCGCCTTTCTGGTCAAGCACACAGCCGCAAAGCAGAGTGAGCGTCTGTGGTATAGCCCGGCGTGCTAAAGAGCCTCTAAGGAGTGATATATTAATAATAGTGAAGGGGGGAAGCAGGCGCGGTGTGTCGCGCCTGAAATCTCAGCACTTTGGGAGGCGAGGGTGGGAGGTGGGGTGGCGAGGATTGCTTGAGGCCGAGAGTTGGAGGTTGCAGTGAGCTATGACGATGCCACTGCACTCTTGCCTGGGCGACAGAGCAAGACCCTGTCTAAAAAAAAAAAAGAAAAATCAAATTGGGCGAAATACTTTATGTATGAATTAAAATGACTAATTCATACTTACCAAAGAAAATATTACCCTCACCAAACAAAAATATTACACCTGGCAATTTGCACTGTTTTGTTAATTAAAAACTCAAAGTGGTCACACAGAGTGACAGACTTGAAGTAATTAAAGCTTGGTTTCTTAATCTTTAAAATCACCGGGTGGTTACTGTTTATTTTACATCTCCTTACTTGGAGGAATAGGTCGTGCCACGAGAATTAGCGACTGCTGCCTAAGTCAACTTGAACAACTCTGCTTATTATGAACTCCTCTGTTTGCAAGCTTACTCTCAGAAGGAACCCATGTAGCTAGCTGAGCCAGGTGTGTGTTGGGAACTCACTTGGTAACTGCTTCTTCAGATTAACTTCTATGTAGAATATAATTTCTATTAAAGAATAATAAAATGTGCTCACTTGAAGCTTATGTATGCTATTAAAACTTAATGGTAACCACAGCCATCGCTTAGAACTTAAACCAACAGTTCTCAATCTTTTGGGGCTCAAAATCCTGTATCTCTAAGAAATTACTGAAGCCTACAAAGAGCTTTTGTACATGTGGGTTGTATCTACAGATATTTGCCAAATTATATATTAAAGCTGAGAAAATTTTAAAAATATTGTCATTAAAAATAACGATCATAAACCTACTAGGTGTTAATATAAATGGCATATTTTAATGAAAAAACTGTAATTAGCCAGGAGCAGTGGTGTGCACCTATAGTCCTAGCTACTTGGGAGGTTGAAGCAGGAGGATCCCTTGCATCTAGGAGGTGGAGAGCAGCCTGGGCAACATAGCAAGACCCCATCTATAAGAGAAAAAGAAAAGGGACTAATATGTTGAAGGCTTGCCTGGGCCCAAGGTTTCTACTTCCTAGCTCGCTTGTGTGTCTGTTGGCTCTGCCTGGGCAAGTCACAGCATGGCAGCTGGGTTTCCCAGAGCAAATGGTCTGAGAGAAAATGTGCCACCAAGATGAAAGCCACACTATCTTTTATTACCTAATCTCGGAAATGGCATATGCTGTATATATATTGGTCATGCAGCCCATTATGGGAAGGGACTAAACAAAAGTGTGGGTACCTGAAGGCAGAGATCTTTGGAGACCCACCTTGGAGATTGGCTACCATACGACTTTTGCATCTCTTTTTATGAGTGACATTGGTTGTGATTTTCCTTTGTCATAATATCCTTGTCAGATTTTGGTAAAATATTTATGCTGTTTCACAAAATCAGTTGGGAAGTGTTCCTTCTTTTCCTATTCTTTGGAAGAATAAGAAATGAAATGAAAATGAAAATTTGACATCGTTTTTTACACATCTTAAATGTGGAGTAGAATATATAGGGGAAACCATTTGAGCCTGGGATATGTGTGGGTGTGTCATTTTCAGATTCAAGTTATTTAGTATTTATAGGGTTATAAGGAATTTTTTATCTTTGCTTGTGTCAGTTTTTACAAGCTGTATTTTTCTCTAAGAATTTACCTATTTCCTCTACATTTTTAAGTTTATTGGCATATGATTGTTCAATTACATTCTCTTATTACTTCTTTTGTTTTTCTCTTATTATTTCTGATGCCCCAGTCTTCTCTTATTACTTCTGATGCCCCATTACACTGATGCCCCAGTGTTCCTGACATCAGTGATTTGTGCTTACTCTCATTTTTTTCTGGAACCTTCTAAAGAGTTCATTAATTTTTTAAAATAAAACAACTTTGGCTTTGATGATCCTCTATAGTGTACATTTCCTGTTTCATTAAATTCTGCTGTAGTCTTTATCATTTTTTTCTTTTTACTTTATGTGGGTTTAATTTTCAGATCTTTTAAAAATTTCTGAGGTAGACGTTTGGCTTCCTGATTTTCAGATTTTCTTCTTTTCTAAGTATTCAAAGCCATAAATTTCTTTCTACACAATGCATTAGCTACATTCTAGCATATTTGATATGTAGTCTTTTTTTTGAGACAGAGTCTCATTCTGTTGCCCGGCTAGAGTGCCATGGCATCAGCCTACCTCACAGCCACCTCAAATTCCTGGGCTCAAGCAATCCTTCTGCCTCAGCCTCCTGAGTAGCTGGGACTACAGGCATGCGCCACCATGCCCGGATAATTTTTTTCTCTATATTTTTAGTTGGCCAATTAATTTCTTTCTATTTTTAGTAGAGACGGGGTCTCACTCTTGCTCAGGCTGGTTTCCAACTCCTGATCTTGAGTGATCCACCTCCCTCGGCCTCCCAGAGTGCTAGGATTACAGGCGTGAGCCACTGAGCCCAGCTGACACATAGTCTTTTTGTTATCATTTAGTTCGACTATCATGAATTGTGTTTCTGAATTTCCAAACACATAGGGATTTGCTAGTTATCTTTTTGTTGTTCCCTTCTAGCCTAATTGCATTGGGGTCAGAAAATATACTCTGTATGATTTAAATTCTTTGAAATTTTGGACACTCATTTTATAACCCAGCATTTGTTCAATTTTTGTAAATGTTCTGTGTATATTTGAAAAGAACATGCATTCTGCAGTGTTCTGTGTATGTCTGTTCATATCAAGTTTGCTGATTGTGTGGTTGAAATAATATAAGTACATGCTAACTTTTTGTTTGTTTGCTCTGTTGGCTATGGAGAGTTACATGTTAAAATCTCTCGCCATGATTGTAGATATTGTAGATTTGTCTATTTCTCCTTTGTAATTATTTTTTTTTTCCTGGCTGCCTATCTTTATTTGTACTGTAAAGTTTCTATATTTGTTTTAATTAATTTTACATTTAGTTATGCAAGGTGAGAGACAATGTTATATGACAAGAACAGTTTCTGTAATATGAAGTATTTTTTTTTTTTTTATTTTGTCCTGGATTATTGATGCTGGTTATTTTAATTTTTCTTTCTTTTTTTTTGGCATATTAGTGGGGTACAGATTTTAAGGTTTCAATAATGCCCATTTCCCCCCCCCCCAAAAGTCTGAGTTCTCCATCATGACCATCCCCAAGATGGTGCACATCTCACTCATTATGTATGTATAACCCCCGCCCCCTCCCCCCCTCCCACCTGCCCAATACCCTGTTACTGTAGCACCTATGTGTCCACTTAGGTGCTACTCCAGTTAAACCAGTTTGCTGGAGAATATATCTGGTGCTTGTTTTTCCATTCTTGGGATACTTCACTTAGTAGTATGGGTCCAGCTCTAACCAGGAAAATATAAGATGTGCTATAATCACCCATTGTTTCTTAGAGCTGAATAAGTACTCCATGGTATACATATACCACATTTATTAATCCATTCTTGATTAGATGGGCACCTTGGCCTGTTTCCCCAGCGTTGCAATTATGATTTGACTGCTATGCATTCATTCCGAAGGAAGGTGGGTCGTTTGGTTGAGAGGTGAATCCCAGGGATCAATAAATTGGGATAAGATGCCCAGCTATGGGATTTGACTAGGGATCGAAGAGGCATAGTGTCTGTGTGATGCGCTTAAGGTTATCTCGATATTGTTCCACAGAGGTTGGAATAGTTGATGCAGTCCCACCGACGTGCAGGAGTGTTTCCTTCTCTCCGCAACCACGCCAGCATTTATTGTTTGAGATATTTTGATAGAATAAGGAACCATTACTCCAGTAGGAGATTATAGATATCATCATCATATAGTGGTTTTTGCGTTTCATTTCCCTGATGATTAAGATGTGTTGAGCATTTACTTCATATGTTTGTTGGCCATGTCCTTCTGTCTTCTTTAGAAGTTCTGTTCACGATCTTTGCACACTTTTATAGGGGTTATATTGATTTTAATCTTCTAAATTTTCGTGAAGTTCTAAGTTATTAAGATATACAGTCTTATCGGTATGCATAGGATGCAAAATTTTCTCCATTCTGTAGGTTGTCTGTTTACTTTCCATGACTATTTCTTTGGCTGTGCAGAAGCTTTGTAGTTTAGATCATGTCCCATTTATTTATTTTTGTTGCTGCTTGATGTCCTTTGGGGACTTCTTCATAAACTCTTGACCAGCCAATGTCTAGGACAGTGTTTCCAACTTTTCCTCTAGAGTTCTAATAGTTTCATATCTTAGTTTAAGTCTGTTATCCAGCGTGATGTCTGGTTTTTGTGCAGAGGTGAAGGTGTGGGTCCCTGTTTTAGCCTTCTACAGTGTATCCAGTTTTCCACACC